GATGATGATGATGATGATGATGATGATGATGATGATGATATCGGTACCACACACAACCTGTATGCTCCAATCGAAACGACTGTTAGACTAAATGATAAGGCTTACCATAAGTAGCGTAACTGATTGAACCCAGGCTCGACCAACAAAGATCTGGCGGCCGTACTCCGACCAAGCATGCTCCACCACACACCGGTGGATAGAAGCCGAGCTCTGTTTCTGCCCCTAACTTCCAAAAAATGGTCTACATCCGTTGAGTGATTCACGCAAAAATTAGCGAGAATGGGGTGAGATTCTTGACCAATTCATTCTGTGACGGCGACCGAATTTGTGCATCCTCTTTTGTTCCATTTGCCAGTTTCAACACAAACTGAATGTCCCAAATGCAATCGGATGAGAATGAAAACTTACGTGTATCAGAGGCTATGTTAACCCAAAGACGGTATTAACAAGCAGCAGAAGACATTAGAGGCATAGTCAGTACTTCTTATCTGTAACTGAATTCAATTCTAGGTTAATTTATTTAGAAGGAAGAGTGCTAGTCGATATGCTACTTTCGACGATATGAGTAGTCCGACCCACCCCCCTTCGGCATATCAACAATGTTTTCAAACACGGCATCAGTAAAATCGGATCGGTTTTTAGTTATATTACTTAGTTAAAGCAGACTTCGATTTCAGACCAACGCAGTCTGCTTGAGGGCTTTATTTGGTTGAGGATTCAGTTGGAGTTCCAGGCGAGTCTTTCGCAAAACCAAATTTGTTTGCAAATGAGCGTATTTAGCTGAGTGCCTTACAAGGAAATGAATTGATCATTAGCGTGAAGCTGAAATATTTCGCTGGAGCATGTGCATAGAATCATTCCATTGCACCGGCTACGCGTATGAAGCATTGGGCACAAACACGCTTCATCCAAGAGCTGGTGCAGAACAAATGAGTTGATGAGCTGCTACGATAGCGGCAACTTCTACTCGGGAAATCTAACCCGTTTACATCTAATCACTGTGTTTGAATAATGCAATGACATCAAGCTCATTTAGCTTATCAACTCATTTTTGATAAGAAACTGCTTGTTATAATTCTGACTGACTTTTCAGTGACTGAGTACGCACTCACGTTCCGTTCACGTAGACAGGTGTACTGCCACTTTTGAGACTCATCAGTCGCCTTGACAAGTCGCGGTTATGTAATTTGTTCAAAAACATCGGACCTACATTGAAACCCCCTGTCTTGCGTCTCCCAAGTAACTCTGCTTTAGCGACAAAACACCCCGCCTATTGTGGATGAAACTTGAGAAACAAAGGTACAACATACCTGGAAGATCGGATTAGTAGGGAATTCTGATAGTCTACTATCATCGAAATTTATAAGGTTGGGGACGTATGCAACAGGGTGAGTGTGTCCACCGACCGAGATCTAGGATGTGGTCGTAGGGCGAGCATTGAACCTGCTCTTATACAAACTCATCACGATTCACTGTTCAAGCCAAGCCACTATGGGGGGGGGGGGGGGGGTCGCGGAGTAGCGATACTCTGGAGTTTCTTGAGATGAGCACTGGATGAAGCATTATTTTCGTGCTTTCTGGCATACACTGGCTTTGCTCACAGAACGAACTCTCCATTAAACAATCTGTCACAGTGTACCAAATGCAGTAAAGCTCCACTTCAACTGCACTTCGCATACCATTTAATGTGACAGCACCCTTGTTGTTGTAGTTCCTGCAATGTAGACCCGTTAGGATTTATGATCATTTAAACAGCACTCATGCTGTGAAGTTTAATTTCAGAAATGTAGCAAGTACTTGTACAACCAAGATCAATAGTGTGGGTTGGCATGATTCCTTTGAGCATGAAGAAAATACTGACTACTATTTAGAGGAATTGAGAAGCCCTTCAGTAGAATACACTGTGATGTTTTCGATGATAGGTCAAATCAAACATTATTAAACCAATTAGACATTAAGACAAGCCAGTAAGTTGGAGGACTTTCCAAGGATTTTTTCGCCCTTTATTATTGATAATTACTCGTTTCCAGTACCCATCATAGTTGACTGGCGAATTGCAGATATTCTTTATAAGCGGATTAGTCTGGGAAGAGGAGCATTCCACAGCTCAACTATGCTCTGACCTCAACCTTGAAAAACCTACAAAATGTTAGCTGACGTTCATTAGTGAATTGGTAGCAGCAAACAGAGAAATAAGGCATGGTTACATCTGTGTCGTTAAGTAACTGCAGAACGCACGGGCGTATAATCTTTTCAAACGCAGACAACATTATTTACAGTGTAAATTAACATACACGGAAAATTTGCGTTAGTCCACCGTTAGTAGCGGCTTAAAAAGGAATGGTAGAAAGTCAGACTGGTAAGCTCACATATCATCTGAAATCTTGGCCAAGCCAACTTGTCTATTCTTTGTCAATAATTTTATACCCGCCTATTCCATAATTTTTCAATAGCGAATTTCTGGTGCGGTCTCCTACGATGTGAATGATATTCAGTTCAATTCTCCCATGAAACCATGGCGGATTACAAACATGTTCCAGTTTGGCGGCTCAAACGTATCCCCATCCAGGCCGACGACGCCCGTAAGCCCCATGGATTCCCCAGTAAAAACCAGTCCAACATCTCAGGCAGAACCGGATTCACCAAGCGACACTAGTGGTCAAATGGTTAACTCAGAGCTTTTATCTGAGTCATCCTTGGTGACTGATAAAGATGATATCTGGGACAGCAAACCACAAACTCTCCTAGTTTCAACAACCAGTCCGATTCCAGACAAATTAAGGGGCTACACAATAAGCTCCCGTTATCCTGCTGCAAATTCACGTACCGGTGAACGTGGACGATCTCGCTCCCCCGCGGGTAAAGTGGATTCGCATACAAACGATCATTTATCCCACCAATCCGAAGAAGACTCAGCAGTAGCAGCAGCTGGAATTTCCGGTCATGAACCGAAATATCTTGGAAATGATTTTACAGAGATGTATGACAAGACTGAGCGTTCAGGTAAGCTATTTCTGAAGAAAAAAACATCACTTGATTTTGTTTCTACGACATTACAAGTAGGTTAAAACAATGAATTCGTTGCGGTGACGGGGCGATTTGATCATCAAGTTACACAACCGTTTGTATGTTCGAATAAAAAAGGCAGAAAGATGACGGTATTCTGCTTTTAACTCTCCAACCACAATACTAAAATAATTGTAAAAGAGTGTAGTGGGCCCACGAGGTATAGTTTTCAAGTTTGGGCAAGCTACTAGCTCTTATTAGTGTCTTTTCTACACAAATGTGTCGGTATTCTTTGATCAACTTGGCTTTACCGAACACTAACTAGCCATTTCGAGTTAACACTGCAGTGGAATTCCGGGGTCATCTCTGTATCTAGTGGACAGAGGGTTAGCCAGTAAACGCACTGAGCAATACTGCAACCTATGGAACTTCCAGAGCATTTCGTTTATAAAAATACTCTGTATATCGTTATATCTCAGTTCTCGTCGCCGGAAACAGGGCACTCAAAATCAAGTAGAAAAAGAACGCCTATTGCTCTTGAAGTGATTGTTGATTTTTAGGAGAGATCTTCGTTTGTGATGCACTGCACTGGTAACTCAGATTAAATAATCTAGTTCAAAGACAAAGGGAAGCTACTTTACTCTCACGCAAGTTCTTCGGGTTTTCCTTAGTTGGACGGGCCTAACAGTTTTGTTTGACTCAATAATTTCTCATTCAGGTTCCAAATGAACAATGTGAACTGGTATTTCCTTGTAAATCACGCTACATAAAAATACTTTTGAGTTTCCGAGGTTCATTCGTTGACTGCACGCTTGTTAGCTCAGATGTCTGCCAAACCGTTTCACAGTTAACCAACTTGTGGTCCTGGTTGACTAACTAAGCTAGTGTGTCACGCACTGTTCGACAAAAAGCCGATCCGCCGAAAGAAAGGCAGCTGTGGTAGCGTAAGGTGCTCTGTGTGTAAACTGAACTTGTATTTGTACACTTATTTCGTTTTGCGGGAGACTCACCTGAAACCCAGCTGAATCTCTCGTTTATGATGTCTTCGAGCTGCCGAATAATTTTCAGCAAACTTATGAGTAGTGTGTTACGTCTGAACTTGGCTTTCATTGTGACAGCACCATAATTCATGAGTGACAAAGAACGCATGCTGAAGACTGAACAGAACAGACTGTCTGAAAGATATTTGTCGGGAAATTTGGTGCATCGTCTACAACAAAGTATAAAACATCCAGTTAATCTCATTCGTCCGTTTATCGAATGTCGTACTAACTGATAAATGAGGGACCTGGTATAGCACATTCGGTTGCTTAAAAATTCATAAACAACAGATTCGGCTGGGTTCCAAGTGATTCTCCCTTTAAAATTAAACTGGTATGCAAATGAGGTTAGTTCACTCATTTATCCATATTTTCCACTCCCAATTTTCTTCGCGTCGGCTGGTTTTATTTAATGCTTAATAAGAATACTTACCTAGAAAAATGAGCTCTTTTTCAATACAGAAAACGCGGAAATGGATGGGGTGAGGACATCCGACTACTGTGGTTCGTTGAAGCGTGGTTCGAATTCGTCCGACTCCGGGCCATCATATAAAGCTGAAGATCGGCCACTAGGATATCGACAGGCGGCTTTTCTGATGACCATAAGGTAGGTCACTCTGTTAATGAACTACTCCTGTTCCCACAACACAGTCATTTTTATGCGAAAGAGCTCTTTCGTCTTCAAAGAATAGCACAAGTGCACTTTCAGGGGTCAAGCTGTTCGTTTGCAAATGGACCAACAGGTCGGAACGCACTTTTTCCCATCCGGAATAAGTTACTAAGTCACTAATTACGTATGGCGTATGAGGAGGTGATGTTCCACTGTTGCCACCAGCTATCATCCGTTTATGATATATTTCGCACCTTGAGGTGGAACTTGGCTATAGTGTATGCCATGTTTGAAACCATCTTGAAGGTATCATCTGCGTTTGACTGTGATCAGGTCGGCTACCAACTGGACTTTGCACAATGAGCATGGATAATTCGTTTTTCTGCAGAATATTAGACTGTGTGGTTAACATCTTGTGTCAAAACTGAGAGCCACTGTTTTGCGTGTGAGAGTTTTCATGACTATACCGCTGTTTTCTGACTGTAAAACTGTTATGATGTCGTGTAATGGGGTCCAGGGATGACCTTGAGTTAATTAAAAAAATGTCAAAGTGTATAATCCCGTGTCATCGATGTCTAATGATCAAAATTTTCTCTTTCAACAGACAGGTTGACCGAAAAATATCAGTCCGTCTAACCTGGTGATTTCCACAGAGGTGTGAGACGTAAAAGCTGGATGGTCACCCAGCTTCAGAAAGAATTTGAGCTCGAACTACCAGTTCTATACCGAGCTTTGGCTATATAATATGTTGCCAGCTGAAAAAGTGTGTTTTGTTTGAAATATGCCAAAGAGAACAGATTTAAAAACCGCAGTGACTATTCTGGGGTGGTGAGTGGAATGAAAAATATAGAACAAGGTTGGAAATAGCCATGCCGTTGGAAGGTACTTCATTTGGGCTGCGAACTTTATCCGTGTACTCGATGCAGTATGAGGGTTGATCGTTCCGCTTCATGTTCTACTCTCAGTTTGTGAACCTACTAGCGTTCAACCAACTGGGAAAGACATCTGATGTCGGACAGGCCATCGCAAGAAGGCGGGTATTAATGAATGCGTACGTTCAGCGCAACAGCACCATGAGTGCAACCGTGTCTGTCAAGAAGCAAATGAAGGTTCACACCAGTGGATAAAAAGAACACTTAAGTGAAATGAGTGAATGGGAGGGATACATGGCATCCGCACTCTACAAATTGGACAACTACCATTAAGTCACTTTCAACAGCTTTCACGTTTGACTTCAGGTGCTATTCGTGATTCAACTAGCTGTCAGCTCAAAAAGGAAAACTGGTTTAAACGTCCAAATGTTCCAAGTGATGCACGCCGTTTGAAATTTTAGCAGTTTTACCATGAATTCTTCGTACTACTGGCCACAATTTCGATAAAATCACCGGACAGCTCATGACCGGAGCTGGGGTTTGTTTGCAGTCTAGAAAACAACCTACACGAACAAAGAGAAAGTGAGGATAAGGGACACTGTTTTGTTTCATTTTAGAGAATGGAAACGTCTTGCATACGTGACTCGCTTTGCAGTAATTACTTTTGATTCTACGTTTGGGCCAATAGTAGGGAATGTTGAAAATTTTCTCTGTTATTAACCAGGCGTTTGGTTCAAAAGTACTAACTCCAGCGGTGGAAAAATGTCGTTTTCTCTATTGGTGATGTATACCAGATTGTCAGCGTCTCACAGTTTATAGCCAGACAGTATTATTTACTTATTCAGAGTTGTTCACATTTAAAGCTATCAGCAGTGATCGCAGTGATCGATCAGCAGGAGTGACCGCTTTTGGCCACATTCCAAAGTCTCTCCCAGGAAATACCAAATGTTAACAGACCACTGAGAAACGCAGAGGAATACCAGGAGTTAGTCAAAGATTCGCCAATGGCAGGGCATGCTCTAGACACTGGGCATAGGATAGATTCAGAAAATGTTGATATCCTGAAACTGGGTGGGTCTAAAAGTACAAAATCCAACTAGAATTAGTTCCAATTTACCACCCCACTTCCATCCCTAAACCAATTGCCCCAGCACCCTTGGACGAACACAGGTGAACGAAATCTGTGAACGACCCCAAGAGGAATTTCCATTAAGGTGTCCTAGACTGAAGAAGCAAGGACGAAAAAATCCGGGTTCATCATAAAGACGAATCCCCCCCCCATCGTAAATCTTAGTCATCCCCACTAACCAACAAATAAGAACATCAGACTGAATACCCAGCACTGATCAAGTCGGCTAGTCATAAGAAATCTCACGGATTGGTTCCCTGACTGCCTTAAAACCCAATCAACCTACTTACTTACTCACTTGGCCTGACGAAGCTTTCGTGTCAAAAGCGAAACGGTGCCCAGCAATAAATCCATCGATTGTTTACCAAACCTCTCTGAAAAGATGGCTTCCCAGTCGGTCCTAAACATTTTCCAATTGATTTAAAACAGATGAACTTTTCAGTTCGGACTGGTGTACAGAATTTCAAACACTTTCATGTAACTTACAAGAATTTAGGTGTGTTAAGAAACATTTCAGATTTAAAGCCAAGATTACAAAGAGATCTCTTGGCATGCTTCTTTGATCTTAAACCCTGTTTCTTCATTTTTCCCAGGGATCTCCAAGCACAGTTGGATGCCAGCTTAGAAAGGGAGTCCTCTTTGCGTCAGATGTTAGCCAGCAGAGAAGCGGCAATGGCCGAACTCGATCACCGGATAAGTCAGATAGAGGATTTGGAAGAAAGAACGGGTGAACTTTCCATGTAAGTTGGACATGCCGTCAACAATGGTTGCACTGCCCACAAGACTCTTGATTAATCAATAACGCTAGTGTAAGACTATTTTAGTGTCCCATCAAATTGTTGGCATCTGCTAGAACAACCAACAGAAGTTACCTGGTCTTCAGAAGAAAATTTAGGAGGAGTAATTCATTGTACTCGGCAACTGCTCCTATCTACAGCTTGCAATTAGCGGCTAGAATCCTAATTTTATCGGCTCGAAGCCTCCACAAAACATTAGGCTTGTGGCTCCTTAATTTCAGCATCGATTCCTAGCTTCTGCTTAAAAAATAAAACGGAAAAAGAGGAGGCCTTTGCTGCGGAGTTGTTCATTAGAGAAACACCAACTAAACAGTTGCAGACTATTGGACAGGGGAGCAAAGCTCTCATATGCATCTTGTTTACAAAACTGAGTATCTATCTTCTCCTTGAACGCGTCTTCCTGAACTTCCCAGAATATTCATTGACTGTTACTCAAATGCGAGCAAGTGCTACAAAGCGAAACCACAAATTTCGTAGTAGATCTCCTTTTTCAAGAGACGCGAAGCTGATTTACGAGGAAACATACTACTCGCATGCCTCCTCAGTAGCACCCACCGTTAAACCACCACCAAAGAATCTATTCAGCGTTCAAATGATGTATTCGTCGTCGGACGAATGACCGTCATGAAGAGACTGGATCTTACCGTGGTGCGCCGGCTTGTGTACCTCGGTGACCCACTGAATTATACCGGGGGTTGTCAGCGCGACACTCACAGTGTCTCTCATACCAGGTAGGTTCATGGGTAGAGGTCTGACGAATAGTATCCTGGCCCTCCAGGTTGGGGGTTGGAACAGGTATATAGACGTGTTCCGTAAAAATGGTAACGTGCTTGCATTCCCAGTGCAGCACCGCTGCCTTGGGTTTGGGCTTTTGAGCCAAAAGCTTGGTTGAGGACCCCCTGTCTAGGTGTGGGCGCCCTGGCAGTATCCAAGCTCTCGTACAAACAAGACACTTACAACTAACAAAACACTCACGCCACATTGGCCGTCGCGTGATGCCATCAACCGGGTCGCCCTACTTGCTGCATACAGCAGGGCGGTTAAGCGAAAACATGTTAACGCTGACACCTCCCTTTTTACACTATCACATTTTCCGTCTTTCACCCCCTCCCACCCAACTGTGAATACTTTCTTCGCAGGTCTCAGCTCTGGGACTGACCGTTTTGGTCACTCTGCATCACACTCAGCTGCAGTTTCTGCCACGTCCGAGCTCAGTTACAACAGGACGAACCTTATGGTTGTACGGCAGCGAAGCATCAGTCCCAACACTGATATTGCTGTCTTTGATGATGATGATGACGATGATGATGATGATGACGATGATGATGATGATGACGATGATGATGATGATGACGATGATGATGATGATGACGATGATGATGATGATGACGATGATGATGATGATGACGATGATGATGATGATGACGATGATGATGATGATGATGATGATGGAATTAATCAAGTAAAATACAGAGCTTCGAAAGATTTTCTGGAGTATTCAGTAAGGCAAAATAGGCATTCTAATTCGATTGCCTGTGGCTTGTGAGGGAATTGGATCAGTGCCAATCGAGCTGTCGAAGAAGTGAAATCAGTTTGTATTGGTTGGAAGAGCTGGGTTTGGTCTTCTATGGTCGACACTATAGTGGTTGCCACAAGCCACCTCACCAGGTTGACGAACCTGAAAATGGTTCAAACCACGTCTTTATTCACCGTTTACTCTCTGAGTGTCAGGTGATCTAGAAGTTGCTCCCACTGTCTCGATGTGTGAGTGTTGTGCTGTGTACGGGAGCTGAAGACGTTCTGGTTGACTGAATTTCTGTGATCAACCGACCATGTGCAGTCAGACTGGCGGGGTCTGTCTGACTTCGCAACCAGTGATCGTACACCCAAAATCTGTTCGCCATCTCTGCATTCGTTTCAGTGGACTGCAAGAGTGACTTTGCAAAAGACGCTTTTAATGGAGAAGTTTCGAAAGTTTTCCGGATGGCCGAGTGCGCAGATGCCACTATACTGGTGGAAGATTTGAATATATTTCTTTGGGAATGGTTGACAATCTTTGGGACCGTTTCGGTGAAAGAAATAACAATGTTGGTTGTTTGCTACTACGATGCACGGATTGCCATTCATTTTTGGCAGCGTGGAAAGAGTTGAAAACTGTCAATAGAGATTTCCTCCTCTTAGTTGAACCCGTTTGTGCCGATTAGCCGAGAAGTAATGTGCAGCTGTTTCATCCTTATTAAGAACCATCAACCGTCCCTGAAACTCCAGGGAGATTTCAACTCAACCCCCAGGCTGGTATTTTAAAAGTCCACCTGTTCGGCCATGATCGCCTGATCATTATAATTTAGCTGCGGCAAAGACCAGTTTTCAACATGAATGTGAGCATTACGTTACCCTCTGAAGCCTAAGGAATCGAGCACTCACCTTGATGACGGAACAATGAGTTCTGATCATTATAATTTAGCTGCGGCAAAGACCAGTTTTCAACATGAATGTGAGCATTACGTTACCCTCTGAAGCCTAAGGAATCGAGCACTCACCTTGATGAACAATCAATGAGTTATAGATGGTGATCTTGTGTTCAAGACTGTTGCTCCTTTTGGGGCATCTACATGGTCAGATCATGCCTCGTTTCGTGCTTCAATCGCGGTTTGTTTTCAGCGGCTGGGAGTGAAAGTTACCGCACTGATATGCGTTTTGTTTATTCGGTGTCTGCCAACAGCAGCTTTCTAAACCTTTTGGAACGCGAAACAAACCCGCCAATCAGTTTGACATCCGAAACGTTATACATTCATCACCAGACTATTTGCACCCAAAAAATGAGGCTGTAACTCAATTCACATTGGAACTCGTAGCTATCCGTACGCCCCATTGGGGAGAGTGGAATGTGCCAGTGGATTGAAACTGTGATCCAGTGAGACTTCTGAAACGACACCCAACTCGCAGATTCAAGACTCACTGAGAGAAACGGTAGCTGCAGAAATTCAGAAAAGCGCCGAGGAAATGGCTGTCACAAATAGTCTAAATCCTCTTCAACTGTTTCGCATTAGTTGGCCACGTCATCTGAAGATCAGTAAAGCGATTACAAAGCCAGTACAGAGCGCTTATATCCCACAATCCACCTTAGTCCCGCCACCCGCTTCGAAAAATCTGGCCTAAAGTGCCCAGCCTGACGATCGGCGCACCAGCAGCTTCACACATGGGAGTGAAGTGTTTGATGCCAACAGAAAACCAGGTCCAAAAACGAAACAAGACTTTTAAAGCATAATATCTCATCCGGTTCTGACTGTCCTACCCCTGCACTGTTTAAGCTTAGAGAAGAAAAACCAGTTCACAGTCTGTGAAAAGTTGTGCAGATAATTATGAGGACAAGGGAAGTGCCCTAGAAAGAAAAGATGGCTATGGTTTTTCCTGAATTCAGAAAGTTTTCAGGTCTAAACACGAGAGTCATCGGCGTTTCGTTTATTCACCGTCGACTCTAAGTTGCACACATGTGTTATCATACACAGAGTTATTATCACTCGTGAGAGGCACATTCGTTAGGTCGCGAATGCATCGATCACATATTTACCTTACAACAACTCGACGAACACCGCCACACATTTAGAGGGCCAACGTTTGTCTTCTTAGATGTACAGTCTGCACTGCTCTACGGCAGTGTCTCTGTTTCAAAGGTTTCCCAACTATTCTGGTCATTCCAACACTGGTAGGCACGTGAGACTAAATGGAGAGTAGTATCCTGAGTTAACCACAAGAATGACTGTCCAACAATGCTGTCCTTTCCTCTTCAACTTCATAACTGGATGAATTATCAAAGAAACGTTCGCAGTCTTCTTCCCTCGGCGCGGAGATTCTCCGAGAGTGAGGCCTTGAAAACTTGTAGTACGCAGTGGACATCGTGCCACTGGGTTCTGAATGCATCCAAGTAAAATAAATTCACCGAATAATCAATGTAGGGTTTCCATGTATTTTGTTATACGCCTTGAACGTTCAAAGTATAAAGTGCGGGAGAACGCACCACCAATGCTGGTTACGACATCAAACAAACCACGGATTTACTTACTTGGGTAGTTGCATCACGTCGGATGACAACACTGATGAAGAAATCCTGAATTGATAGAGCTCGTTCTGCCTACCCTCAACCTGGGCACCTTGGTAGTCAAAGTGACACATCAGCCTGCCGAAAAAAGCTGGGTATTCAACGCGCCAGTGCACGTCTAGTATCGATTTATCATCGTGAATCTTGTCCGCTGTGCTTTGAAGACCATCCATGGAACTGGATCATTGCACACGTATCATCGAAACATCGAGCTAACGGCGTTTTCCTTCCGCCATTTATTTCTGACGACAAGTTATCCTCCTGTCCTGATGATTCGGCCGTAATAACTACACTGGTTTAGCAATTTGTTCCATAGGCTACACGATTCATCGTCTGTTGTTTGCTGAGCCAGGCTCACAAGGCAGACAACATATCAACGAAGCATGAAAAAATAGTAAGAAGCCATTGGATGCGTGTGTTATCTGCAATCAGTGGGTAAAATATACCTATCCCCTTGTTCTTATTCATTAACCTGCTACTGTCTTTTCTCCTCTTTCTCTTTCTTCTGTTGTAAAAGTTCTTCTGTACCCCCTATGGCCAGCAATACGGTGAACCGAAATGCCGTACATGTGTATACTGTTTGCGGTTGTCAAACCGAACTGGACTGCACCCGTTCAGTGGACCCTGAGGAGCATACGAGCTGGCGAAATGTGCCTGTGCACGCCTATCGATGTGCGGGCCTAGGCCATTAATGTGACGATCACAAGGTATCCCAGGAACCTTGCCCACACTAAACCAAACCAAACAGATTCGATCTGATGCACAACAAGCGATCTTCTATTCAGTGCCTTATAAGAAAACCAGAATTAGGGGTTGCGTTGACCAAATCTTCACATTTCGTCAGGTGCTAGAACAACGCCCTACGTATAAGCGACCCACGGTTCTAGTATTCCTGGATTTCCGAGGTGCATTTGACTCGGTTGATCGGCCTATTCTTCTTGGGACGCCCGCCCGCCAAGTAATGCCCCGGAAGTTTGTAAACATAATACGTTCCTCGAACTTCCGGACGTGTGAGAGTATACGAAGAGCTCTCCAAAAGCGGTGTCCGTCAGGGATTCCAACTCTCTCCATTCATTTTTAACTTCGTGATCGATGAAATAATAAAACGAATGCTGGAGGGTCTTCAAAACCCCGGTGTTAAAATAGCCTGTGAAGAAAACCTTGTCGATCTGGAATATGCAAACGACATCGTTCTCATGTTCGAAGAGGCGGAGAAGGCTCAAGTATTCTTGGATGAACTGACCAAAGTCATCCCGTCCTTTGGTATGCACTTTGCACCCACAAAGTGTAAGGTCATGCTTGTGGACGTGCAATCACTGAACCCGCCCCATGCAATCCAGGG